CTAGATCCTAAACTTTTGTTTATGCGTTTACTTTATTGTATATTTTCGAACGGTAACGTTGATAACAATGATTCCGGGGGTCTTCTTTGAGTTAGCCTAATGGGAGCTTTTTTTCAACTATACATTTGAACATTTTCCAGAACTTGCGGTCAGGATGCTGATTCCTAGCAAGAACAGAAAAGCAATTTACGAATACCTCTTCAACGAGGGAGTCGCCGTTGCTAAAAAAGACTTCAACCTTAAACAGCACCCTAATATTCCTGGTGTTACCAATCTTGAGGTGATCAAGGCTTTAAAGGTATACACTTTCTCCTCTTCCTCATTTCTATTTATTTTCATGTCTGATTATTATTAGATTTTTTCATGAATCTGCTCGCTTTAAAGGTTGATGTTTAGAGTCTTGCCTCTCGTGAACTTGTTAAAGAGCAGTTCGCATGGCGACACTATTACTGGTACCTGACCGATGAGGGTATCGCTCATTTGAGGGAGGTTCTGAACCTTCCCGCTGAGATTGTTCCTTCCACGGTGAAGAGCAAGCCAAGAGAGGTCCGCGCTGCAGCCATTGAACGCATCCCTCGTCCAGGTGCTTTTCTCTTTCTTTCATTTTCAAGTTTTCTTTACATTTAAATCTTTTTTCTTAACATTTTTCTTGTACATCACAAGTTCCTCGAAGTTTTCCAACTTTTTGTTTGTTTGAAAGCAAGATATGTCGTTACCAATTTCATATGAAAAGAAGTAGACGGTGCTTGCTGTACGTAGTTTTTTCTCCCTATTCTCGTCCTTACACCAGGATTTTAGGGAGCAGATTGTTTTTAAGTAGCGAATTTGCTTCCTTGTAGTGAGAGCAGCCCAACTAAACTATAACTATAATTAGGCTTAAATAAGAACTGTTTTTGCAATTAGTGTAGGACTTTAAAGGGTTTAGTATTGCCTTAGAACAAGTCAGAATTAGCTTTAAGAAAGTGAACACTTGCTAAGACGTTTTGAAGTAAAACATGACCCACGCCTGTAAGATTTTATCCCACTGTTTACAGGAATTGCGCACAGTTACTTAATAATTTTCAACTCTTTATCGAAGATTGCTTAGAACATGATTTTTTGGTGGGTCAGTATGGTTTAGTTGTTTGAAACGGGCATGTGGCTTGGCCTTTTGGGTTAGCAGTATGTAAGTCCCATTTTTACTGAGCGATCAGCGGCACTAGGCTTATACTCTGAACAGAATGTACAGGGTCAAAGGGCGTGCCGCTGACAACGGCGCAGCGAAACTTCGCGATTTTTCAACTTTTACTTACTATTTCTTTCGTCCGTAAAATCATGTCTCCGTACTTGTTTTTTTCAAGTTTTTTTTCTGTAGAATCTTATGTACATTTTCCTACTCGCAAAGTAGATCGCGATATAGGACGTCGCAGTATCTTTAATCAGCATATCAGATAATTCTAAGCCCTGCTTGAGTTATTAGGAGCGCCGTTTTATATAATGACGATCGGGGCTAAGCACCAAAGCTTTTTGGCTTATATTTGATCACCAGTAGCGCTGAATACCTTCAAAAATTTTTCCCCTCGCTATGACTTTAGTTGTGTGCCTAGGCTTCAACCATTAAATGCCTCATTTGGGCAGCCTTTATAATTGCGCTCAATTTACAATATCTTATTGAAACATGGAAAGAATCTC